CGATTGTATTTTGCTCTAGTCAACTGCTGGTAGCAGCCAAGCCTTTGCAGCAGTGGGGGAAACTTGGAGCTAAAGTGTGCAAGCAAACAGCATCCCACCGAAGCCCGGTGAATCCTGGAGGCTTTCAAGGGAAAGGTGACTGCAAAGCTTGCAAGCCCAGTCTCTTGACTCCTTCCGAGTCGCCAGCTGTGAGCACGCAAAGTGTAGCTAAAGCAACTTTGGGCCAGATTGTGAGCCTGAGCTCCACGTGGGCGTGCAGTGACTCACAGATGTCCCCCCATGGAATGCTGAATCAGTGCTCGTGAGTGTGAGTAAGGGGTCACCGTTCCTCCCGTGGGGAGACGTGTGGGGGTGTGAATGGATGGGATCCCATCTCCGCCGGGGACGATAACCTGGCAAGCAGCTGTGGCTTTGGGGAGGTTGTGGATTTACCCACACAGCAGACACACGTGCAGAGCATCCTTGTAAATGCTTCCTAATCGTGGCTGCATCGTGTCAGTTCATCCCAGGTGCGGTGACTCTGCACTGTAAAGACTTCTTGGGAGGCGGAAGGAAATGTATGCTCATTTTCTTGCCTCTCCTACCAAGCACTCTTAAACTCAATGGGTTCACAGAAAGCAAGGAGACTTTTGTGCACGGCGTGTGGGTGTGTGCCTGTTCTACTGATCTGATTGTAAATGGGGAAATAATCTTATTGTGATGCTGTGTGAGGAATTCCATGTGCCCATATAGCACTACTCTCCTTAGTTTCCAGCGTCACTTAAAAATAGTCTCCGTTACCCAGAAGAGGGTCATACAACCGATCTCCCCTCCATTAGAGCGTGACGTAGATGTCCCGTGTTTCCCCATGAGCTCTGGCCGTCACTTGCATAGTTTGGTTGTGCACCTGCTGTGTGGGATCAGCTGACTGAGGCACATATGGTGCAACTTGTGTTTGTGTTTGGCAGGTAAAAGAAGCTGCCCAGCAGCCACAGATGGTCTTCACTGTCCGTCATGCCACTGTTACGTTCCAGACGGACGGAGACACGTGGAGAGAGCAGAAGGAAAAGAAAGCTGCCCTCATGGTGGGCATCCTTATTGGGGTCTTCGTGCTCTGCTGGATCCCTTTCTTCATCACGGAGCTCATCAACCCCCTATGCTCGTGCGACATCCCACCCATTTGGAAGAGTATTTTTCTATGGCTGGGCTATTCAAATTCCTTTTTTAATCCCCTCATCTACACTGCTTTCAACAAAAACTACAACAATGCCTTCAGGAACCTATTCTTTAGACAGCACTGAGCAGAAAAAGCTTTCCTGCTGCCCCAGGAAGCTGATTTCAACTCTCAATGAATCCTACCAAACTCTTGAGGAGGTGCAAAGCCACAGATACGGAGCTGATGCTAAAGGCTCGTCCCCATGGGTCGTATGTCCCAGCAACGATCCCAGTTCCTACGCAGACTCTCCATCCCAGCCTCTAAGTCAGTTGCTATTTTCCCTGCAAACAGCATGTAAGGGTTTCTCTGGCCAGCAGCACAGCATTCTTCCTCCTGTGCCCCACTGCTTTCCTCCTGCCTTCCTAGCGACGTTCTTGGGACTGTCTGGTGGCAGTAATGGTGCTGAGGAGTCTCCTGGCAAAGAGTCATATTTGAAACTCTGGCTTGGCCCGCTGCTAGTCTCTCACAGTATTAATCAACTTTGTCCCATGTTCAAAGCTGGGACGCCTTAATGTCAGGAGGTTTTGTGATTATATATGAAACTAGATATTTTATGGCTTGGTTGAAAGGGCTGTTTGTCTTGTCTTTCGCCGGTAGAGGTTGTTAAGTGTTTATATTTGGGGAATAAAACCCTCAGTAAGGGTTAAGAGCGGACTCCCAAGTACAAAGCCTTTTCTCACAATGCTTTATCAACAACGAATTGTGCTATTTGCTATTGGAATCCATGTAGAAAGTTTAAAAAAAAATTATTTATTGTGAAAGCTTAATGCATGGTGTACCCTGGAATGAGAGAGAATGCATGGGAATTCCACTTCTCGTTCTCTGACTGCTACGTGTGAGCATCTGCCTCAGACCTTTACTTTCAGAAATACCAGCTGTAAATATTAATCTTTGTGTTTGTGTTTCCCATTCTAAACCATAAATGTATTTCGAGCGGCTGTGGGGCAGGTTGCCTGTAGTTGCAGGGGATGCAAGGAGTGTATTTCAAATTGCCTGTCAATGAGAAGCTGTGTTTTACTATTTCTGAGTGTGATTCAGGTCGTCTTGAAACCAAAGCAAAGACCCCACTTTGTTTCTGTGAGCACTGGATTGCAGGCAAAGGGCAGTTAATGACTGGTGATGTTTCATTCTGGAAGCATACCCAAACCGTAAAGGTGCTCTTCTGCAAGGACCAGACTTAAATATTTCTTCTTTTGCCCAACCCTCCTTCTCTTCCTCCCCCCTAAGGCTCCAGTCCTGCCTTGTCGTTATTGCTCTGTTGCCTCCTTGCCTTTCCATGTTGGCAACATAATTATAGTAGTTGGCATTTCACTCCTAGAATTAGAATTACGCACTTTATGTTGCACCGCTGGAAGACTGACAGGCCTTCAGGTGAAGAAAAGCATTAATTCTAACTTTCGGTTCTTATGGGGCAGCCACTGAAATCAGACCAGAACTGAAATGGTGGAGGAAAAGGCAAGATGGGAATCAGAATGACATGATTTCATGTCAGATATCTCAAGAAGAAGAGACAAAAGGGAAAAAAGTCAATAAATCATGGGAAAGCTCCCTGGAGATGGGTAGGATTAGTTCCTATCCTTAGCAGATTGTGAGACATCAGACGTTAAAATTGTCACTGGTCCTTTAAATCAGTCAAAAATCCTGGTAGGGTAGGTAAAAAAAGACCTTTTTCTTTTCATATCTTGGGACAGGTGAAAATGGAAGCTGAGCTATCAAGCGTTGCAGCTCTTTCAGGACCAGTTAGACAAACGACCATCAGGACTGACATAGATGTAGCTGATCCTGCCTTTCAACGAGAGGAGAGATAGGATGGCCCTTGAGATCTTTTTCAACGCTATTTTATAAAAGGCTGTTAAAAATATTAGGTAAAATCCTGCCCTCGTTGAAAGCAATGGACAAATTCTCAGTGACTTCAAGCAAATCAGAATTTTATCCAGCATGTCTTGTCTTGTAAAAGCATAGTTTTAATGTTAATTAATTAAAGGAGAAGATGGGTGGGATGGGAGCAATCTTCTAACTCCCCTGAAAGAGCCTCTGATCTGCACTAACCATGGACCAATCTCTCTACAGCTAGTAAAGAGCATTTTCTTTCTTTGTTACATATTTTAAAGTATTAGTGACATCTCTGATGTATCAAAAATTGTAATAAACTCCTGGGTCATTTTTTTTTTTACTGAGGATATAAAGGTTGCATTGCTTTCTCTGGACGGTCCAGCACCAATGCAGAGTTGTTCTTTTTGGGAACTTACTACTTTTGTTGCGTCAAAGGTTGTTCAGCTAAAAATGAGTTGAAAAAAATGCTTCCTTGTCCAAGCCAGACCTTCAGCTAAACTTGGCAGTGCCTGAAAGTAGGAGACTACTTGTTAGGCCACCATGGCAACACTTTAAACACTAAAGCGTGGATTAACTGGGAAGTTGGACTTTAGTCCACCGTTTTAACACATAACATCATGTCTACACAACTCTGTTTCTCTCTGGGCTGTGTCCATCCCCATTTTTATTTGCTTTTTGATGAGTATTGCAGATTCTCTATCTGTGTTGTGTGGGATCCTTGCACAGGTCATGGAATCAACTGCAAACTCAAATTAGTAACCTGTGTAAGCAGACAAAAATTAAACTGAAATCAATAGGAAAGATCCCTACTTTTGCTGCAGCTCAGTGCTGGGATGAAGCTCCCTTTCATTATATCCTGTGTTTATTCATGCCTTAAACGGTGACAGAGAGACAGGAGAGAATCTTAAAATGACACTAAATAATTCTAATTTGTCTATAGTCATGGATAGTCCACTATCCTGGTGTAAATTACATCCACATTTATTTGACAACACACGTCCCATACAATCCGTACTGATCTTCTGCAAATAACAGCTTCCGCTTGGTGACAAGTTTTGTTCATTGAATCTCGACATAATTAGCAGCTACATTATGGACCAATTCCTACTGCTCTTACTTGAGACTTAAGACCATTGGCTTTTCTTCTAAATACCATTCCTGCAACGTAATATGATCATGCAGGAAAAATATCAGTATTCTGGAGATAGTGCTGAAGAATCATGTCGAAACATACCGCCATGGTCCGAGCACAGTGAAGGGGCACAAAGAAACCTTGACTTCTGATCCTGGCTCTGAGGCGTTTTACAAACCTCTCAGTATTCAAACAGACGCTGAGTGGGCTCCCAGAGACCCAAATCATGTTTGAAGACGTACACAACCCCAGCGTCAAAGGATGTATCTCGTACCTTCTTGTTCCCATTTATAAAACAGAATCAGTGGTGTGAAGAGATTTGCCTCAGCCAGGCTTTGTGAGGATTAATTAGTAAATGTTTATCATGTACCAGTTTTGAAGTTGGGACACTCTGGTTTGAAGGCCGAGCAGCATTATAAATTGGGCTTCTATTTAATTCCTCGGAAGAACATTATTACCCATTATTATTGAGTTTTCTATGCAATCTAATGGCTATATAATACTTCCAGAAAAGGTTTAACTAACCTTCTTCTAGTTACAATTAATTTATTTTCCTCTCGATGTTCTGACAGTTCAATGAACATCTGTATGGGAGCTTGATAGCTAGGGCAGCTACGGCGCGCGCTGAATGCCGTCTGCTGAATGTCTCCTCGCAACGCTGAATACATATTGTTAAGGTTCAAGGAGCAGCAGCTCTCCAGGCAGCCTGCTACCGTGTTTCCTTTATTTTTTAGGGAGAAGAAAAGGTCACAAAAGAATGCCCTTGGATTACATGACAGGTTGGCTGACCACCTTCCTCCTCCACCCCCATCCCGCTGACCTTTCTTCTCGATGCAGGCGGGTCAGGCAGGTGACTCCAGGACACGTACCGATCCTGTACAGCCAGAGGTAGGCCACGCATGACTTCATCCCCCGTTAATTTGCCCAGACTTTTCCTAAAAATCACCGCTGGGAGGCACGGCCTTTAAGCTGGCATCGGCAGCTGAAAGTGGGAGTTTCCTGGAAGCAAAGTTGCAGGCAATTAAGGAAATTTCACCTGACAAAGGTGATTAATGACTATTAGTTCCAGCGATTGCTGCGGTGAGGTACGACTGACAGAGTGTCAAAGTGATTCTTTGCAATGTAGTGATTTGAGCTGCTTTGTTCACGAGGGGCTCGTTGCCGTTTCACTCTTGGAGCCCTTATTTTACCTGCATTGGTGCAGCAGCAAACTGGGACACCAGCAAAGTCATGGTGGACACGATATGGGCATCATTAATGCTCCATGTGGGAACAGTGGGGTAAAACAACTATGGCAAAATCTGCATCCCCACTGCGATACACCCCGGCTGAACATCGTGAAACTGCCTGCACATTCATCAAATTTAAGAGGTGGCCAAAGAGCTCTTTAAATCACCATTATTTTCAGTAACACTGAAGTGCTGAGGAAGTTGCAAAAAACTGGAAGAGAGCTGAAGTTGTGCCAGTATTTTAAAAGGGCAAATTGGGAGAGCCAAGTATTTATAAGGCTAAAACTGTTACTGATTTATAGCTTGAAATTGATCCTTGGCAAAAATATGGAACAGCTGATAAAGGACTCAATGAATAAAAAATTACAGGAAATAAATATAATTAAAATAAATCACATCGATGTCTTTCTTTGATTGCAGCGCATGGTTCATTGCTGATGGTGATATAAAGAATTCACTCCTCAATAACGAATCTGACTTGACAACACTCAACACTTCCATGAAAAAGTGAAGAAGAAATCAATATGAGGTTCAAACTGTCCAATATTTGCTAATGAATCATGGACTGGAAAAGGTGTAAATACAGAAAATGAAGTCACTTGTACAGAGAAATGAGGATGCAAACTGGCCGGGGGCATTTTAGCCCAGCGTGAGGGAAAGGCACGCACCCAGGAGCAGCGGGATGGGACCCTTGTTGCAGGCGGGGAGGTACGGCCACGTCAGGGTGCAGCAGGAGCTGAATATACGGGACTGTTCAGCATTTTGGGGACAAGCAGACTTATTTTTTACCTGTGCCCGGGCTGTGTCCAGCTATGGATGTTATTCTGGTCACTGGAGGGGAAGCTATGATTTCAGTTCATTGCCTTTTCGCTGTTCCCCCCCTCCACGCCA